GGAAGGAGAGAACTGACTCCCACAGGTCACCTTCTGCTTCCACTTGTATACGATGACAGTGCCACACTTAGACACACATACAAATGAATGAATAAAAAACACTGCTGGAAAACTGGATATAATCATCTTGAAGAATAGAAATAGATCCATATCTATCACCATGCACAAAACCCAAGTCCAAAGACCTCAACATAAAGAAACCACACTGAACCCCGTAGAAGAGAAAGAGGGAAATACACGCATTGGCACAGGGAACCACTTCCTAAATATAACCCCAGTAGCACAGACACTGAGAGAAACAATTAATAAATGGGACCTCCTGAAACTGAGAAGCTTCTGAAACGGTCAACAAGACAAAACGACAGCCTACAGAATCGGAAAAGATCTTCACTAACCCCACTTCAGACAGAGGTCTGATCTCCAAAATATACAAAGAACTCACAAAATTGGTCATCAAAAGATCACATAATCCAATAAAAATGGGTACAGACTTAAACAGAGAACTCTCAACAGAGGAATCTAAAATGACTGAAAGACACTTAAGGAAATGCTCAACATTCTTAGCCATTAGAGAAATGCAAATCAAAACAACTCTGAGATTCCATCTTACACCTGTAAGAATGGCCAAGATCAAAAACACTGATGACAACTTATGCTGGAGAGGTTGTGGGGGAAAGGGAACACTTCTGTATTGCTGGTGGGAATGCAAGCTGGTACAACCCCTTTGGATATCAGTGTGGCGATCTCTCCGAAAATTAGGAAACATCCTTCCTCAAGACCCAGCAATACCACTTTTGGGTATATACCCAAAGGATGCTCAATTGTGCCACAAGGACATGTGCTCAACTATGTTCATAGCAGCTTTGCTTGTCATAGCCAGAACCTAGAAACAACCCAAATGCTCCTCGACTGAAGAATGGATGAGGAAAATGTGATACATTTACACAATAGAGTACTACACAGCAGAAAAAAATAATGGCATCTTGAAATCTTCGGGCAAATGGATAGATATGGAAAACATCGTATTAAGTGAGGTAAACCAGACCCAGAAAGATAACTATCATATGTACTCACTCATAAGTGGCTTTTAAATGTAAAGCAAAGAAAACCAGCCTACAATTCACAATCCTAGAGAACCTAAACAACAATGAGGCTCCTAAGAGAGACATACATGGATCTAATGTACATGAGAAGTAGAAAAAGACAAGATCTGTGTAAATTGGGAGCATCAGGACCATAGGAGAGGGCAGAAGGGGAGGGGAGAAAAAGGGAAAGGAGTGGGGAAAAATATATGGCTCAATAAAAACAATAAAAAATAGAAAAAATAATGCTGGAGATGATTCAAGGATTGAAAGTACTTACTGTTTTTGCAGAGGACCAAGGTTTGATCCCAGCACCCACAGAGTAGCTCATAACTGTTTATAACCCAGTTCCCAGGAATCAAATTCTTTTGACTCTGCAGGCACCAGGCACACATGTATGCACAGACACACATGCAGGGAAAACAGCCATATACATAAAATATAAATAAATAGATCTCTTTTAAAAAGAAGAAGAATTTAAGGGTCTAGAGAGGTGTTCCCACAGAAATGAAGAGCCCTTGTTGCCCTTCCAGAGAACCCAGGTTTGATTTCCAGCACTCACATGGTGGCTCATAACCATCTGTAACTCCAGTTCCAGGGCATCTGATGCCCTTTTCTCACTTCCATGGACACTGCACATGTGTACTGCACAAACATACATGCAGATGCCTATACACATACAAGTGTGTACACACACACAAATACACATATCAACAACATATAGCAGCCAGGCCTAGTGCTGTAACCTGTAATCCCAGCTACTTGTGATATTGAGACAGAAGTTTCATGAGTTCAAGGCTTGCCTGGGTTACATAATAAATTCAAGACCAACTTAGGCAGCATAAGTTGAGTGTCTCAATTAAAAAAAAAACCCACAACCTGGGGTGGCACATGTCTTTAATTTAAGCACTCTGGAGGCAAAGGCAGAATCAGGGGGCTCTCTGTGAATTCGAGGTCAGCCTGGTCTACACAGTGAATTCCAGGACAGCCAAGGCCATTTACACAGAGAAACTCTGACTAAATAAATAAATAAATAAATAAATAAATAAATAAGATTTAATAAATTAATAAATAGTAAGGGAGGAGACTAGAGAAGTAGCTCAGTAGTTGCTACTGGTCTTGCAGAGGACCTGGTTGCATTCTCAGAACTCACATGGTAGCCCAGTTCCAGGGGTCCTGATGCTCTCTTCCGACCTCTGTGGGCACCATGGCCATGCGGTACATATAATACATTCAGGCAAACACATAGCCATAAAAATAGAAATATAAAAAATTTCATGTGAGGGGACAAAAAGAGAACCAGGGATATATGTAGCTCAGTGTTGGGAAGCTTACTTAGCATGCGTGGGACCCATGTTCAATCCCCAGTGCTGAGTGGAAGAGAGGAAGAAAAAGACAGAACCAGCAACAAACCAAAGACAGAGCTAGACAGAATGCTTAGAGCCAGCTCTCCTGGGCAAGGATCAAGAAACGCCTGTGTCAGTGTGCTCCTGTGACCTGGGGCTTGTGTGCTTTGCAGCATCAGGCTGTGTGTCTGGGGCGGGGGTGGGAGCTGAGGCACATACTTCACAGAGCAGTGTAACAGGGTGCTGAGGATGCATGTGTGTTGTGTGCAGAATGCCAATCACACCGTCATCTCAAAGTGTGTCCGTGTGTGTGTGCAAGAATAGAGTATGAAAATGGGAATACTGTATGGGATTCTTTGTGTCAGGGTTGAGCTGTGTGTGTGTGTGTGTGTGTGTGTGTGTATGAGAGGTAATGAAAGTCTGAATAGGGAATATATGCAAAATGGCATATTGTGTGTGTGTGTGTGTGTGTGTGTGTGTGTGTGCAGGGTGTAGAGGTGTCCAGCTGTGTATGTGGGTGTACCAGGGGATGCTGTTGGAGCTGTTTTCTGTCCCCAGAGGGAAAGAGTAAGCCCAGGAAATCACAGTTCCGCCCTGTCCCTGGGTCTCCAGGCAACTGTACCACTTTGAAGTTACTAGGAGACAAGGTTTCCAGGGAAACCCAGGCTTGAGTGATAGCTCTAGAGCCAAGTCTGGGTGAAGAGACTGGCTGCGCAATCAGAATCTTGGTTCTCATTAATTCTTCCTTCATTCAGTGATTTAACAAGAATTGCAATTCTCGGGACTTAGAGAGATTGGCTCAGTGGTTAAGAGCACAGACCCAGGTTCAATTTCCAGCACCCAAATGGCAGATAATAGCTGTCTGTAACTCCCAGATCTGATACCCTGACACAGACATACATGCACACAAAACACCAATGTACAGAAAATAAATAAATTACTTAAAAAAACAAACGTGCAGTTCTCCAGTGTACTCAGCAGATGCTCCTGAAGAAGCCTTCAAGGCCCTCAACCTATCAGCACATCTGTCCTCTCCAGTATCTCTCAACCTATCAGCACATCTGTCCTCTCCAGTAT